CTGTGTCAGCATCAAGGCCAATATGTTCCCATTTCTGTTCCAGAGACAGTGTTTCAACAAACAAACAAATACCTTGGAACCCAAAGCATTCCTTAAAGCAACTCTCTAGCATTCTCCCAAAATAAGACTTGGCAGTGTTGGGACTCTCCAAAGGCACTGAGCATAGTGACAAGGAGATTAAAGTGGCAAAATCAGTAAGACAGACAAGACTGGTCAGACAAAGTAATGTGGAAGGGGTTGTGGAGAACTTGGAAGCTGAGGGAAAAACACAGAAAAATTAGAGTTAATGAAAAAATATAAGGAAAAGAGGATAAGGGAACAGGAGCATCTAGCAAAATGTTAGATGGGAGAGGGCATGTGGAGGTGGTGGCAGAGAAAATGCAGTTAAAAGGTGAGCTTTTTTGGAGGATGACAAGCAACACAATTTGGAAGAAGCACAAATTCAGTATTCAGCAAAAAGATTAAAAAATGAAAGTACTTAATTGATTCCAAAAATGTTAAGATTAGAGTTTTTTGTTTTTAAATTTATTTTGTAAATAAATGAAAGACCATTGGTGTAATCAGAATATACATCACTTTAGAATGGGATAAAAGTAAAAACAGTAAGTAAAAAGGAAGAAACCAGCTGCAGGAAATGTTCTTTTAAAAATACAGGTTACTGGAAATAAGAAGCTGGTGTTGACTGAGATTTGTAGAGGTTAGGGAACTGTTGTCACAGTTCTTCCAGTAAATGCAGTCCAACCAGTGGCAAGAGAAATATTTAAAGTGTAGATAGGAAACACAAGCTGTTATTTGATCCTAACACAGGCTGTTATTCTCTTCCTCCTCTTCTCTTCTCTTCTCTTCTCTTCTCTTCTCTTCTCTTCTCTTCTCTTCTCTTCTCTTCTCTTCTCTTCTCTTCTCTTCTCTTCTCTTCTCTTCTCTTCTCTTCTCTTCTCTTCTCTTCTCTTCTCTTCTCTTCTCTTCTCTTGATATGAAGTGGGAATTTTAGTATGAGAGCTTGAATTTTGTTGAAAGGAGATGGTGTGGGAAAGCAAGATAAAAAGGGAAATTGTCAGACTTGGCTTAAGAAAACACATCAGAGGAAAGTGGACAGAAGAGAACAAGCTGTAAAAAGAATGTGTAAGAGCAAGGCTGGCAAGGGAAGAAATAGCACCGAGGAAACTTCCAAAACATTATTATTGCATACCCAAGAGGTGAGTGCTCAGTTCCTATGTACAGAAAAGAAGAGCAAATTTAAGAGTGACATTTAACTGCCACAGTGAAAGCAAAGAACACAGTAATGAGAGGATGAAGGAACAATAAAAGGTGCTTGACTAGACTTTTCTCCCCAGAAAAAAAGCAGATCCGAGTCTCAATTCCCATAAATATTTTGAGAGAAATTAACTTGGTTCAGAAAAATTCAGGGAGGAAAAAGAAACGAAACAAGTGTTCAGATCAGACAGAAACTGTAATGGTTGTTAGCACAATGTGGGTTACTCTAGGAAATGCTGTACTGAAGAATATCCTTATTCAGCTTCTGCTTTGAAATTTGTTTTATTTGCGTTTCTTAGTCATGGTTATTTTGTTAACAACTTTCAATGTTTTTAGAAATCAAAATACATTGCAAATTGCAATACACATCCAGAAATGAGACAGGTTGCATTTCAACCACTGAAGTGTTAAAAATTTCATCAGAAACAGAGCATTCTTTGGTTAAATAAGAACAGCAGTTCAAAATAGCTGTGCTTAAATCCTGTACATGCATTTCTTTTGCCCAAATTAGCAAGAAGTGAGAACCCAACTTTTCAACTTCATTTTTCTTTTTTCAGCAACTACACAGAAATTACTAAATACATCTTTTAAATTTTGCAAGACTACAGTTAAAATTTTAAACATGTTGCACAACAAACTTTTTTGGGAAGCTACAGAAATAACGAAAATAACACATGGAAATTACACATCAGCTAATTGAAATGCTTAATAAATACATAAGAGCTTATCAAGACTTATGAAAATGTTTGTTTGATACAATAATTAGAGCTCAACAAATAAATGGGATTTTTGCTATTCACTTGAACTGAAGGAAGATCAGACTCTACAGTCTTAAGGAACTATGGTTTTATTGTGATATTTCAGATAAAACTCTGGGTTAAAAGCTTCAGTAAACATCACTCACCATGTGATGACCAATATTACTTTAGACATTTTTCTGTTTAAAGAAAAATTAGAACTAGCCTATAAATAATAAAATAAAGCCCAAATAAGCAAACTACTATCACCTCCTTTTTTTTTTTTTTTTTTTTTTTTGGTCTGGAAAATTCCATTCAAAATCTGCAGGTTGTATTTTTGATGAATTTCTAGACTTTCAAGGACTCTCATGGTAGTTATTCATTGGGTGAAGGAAGCATGAATTGAGAACAGGTTATATAAGACAGCATTTCTTCATGAGGCCCCTTTTGTCACTTTACATGTCACCAGCATTTCATGTTTTGAGGTTCTATCAAGAGCCTCATGGCAGATCCATACAGAAAAGCTTCTTGATGAATGTGTCATTTTACAATACAGAAGCTACTCCAATTAATCTGTGTGTGCGAGGAGACAGCCTATAACAAGCAGGGTGTTGTAAATTCAAAACCTTTCTTAGTACACACAAATTTCTTAAACCATTAAAGCTCTTCTGAATCTTCTTGACACAATCCCTTAATGCTTCAAGGCTTGTTGATAAGGTAATGGATAGGACATAGGACCATGTCACTGTTGCCAGTGAATGAAATGAATGAAACTGAGAGTATAGTAACAGTAGCACTTCTAAAATTTTTCCTTCCTTTTTCATCTTGTTTAAACATTAAGACTGTACTCTGGATTTGCTTAATCTGTGTGTATTTAGGAGTGGGGGTTGGAATGGGGGTTTCAGGTTTCTCTGGGAATAGTAGTAAACAGGTATAAGGAAATACATAATGATACTTTCACAGGAATTTCTGTGAAATTCTCTTACAAGGACTAGCATTCTTCCTGTTGAACTCAGATTTGAAAGTCCCATTAATCCTAATGGACAAAGCCATCAAATCCTTAGTGGACAAAGACCCCCATGGCAAAATTATAGGAATCAAGGAGGATTTCACTTGATGAGATTCTGTAAATCTGTATAGGACGGGCCATCTTGCTTCAGTATTACACAATGCAAGATTCAGGGGCAAACTCTGAAAATGCAGCTCATCTGCCAAGAAAAAAAACTGAAGGAAATAGATTCAGGCAGGACACTTCCTCCTTTTGTGTAATTACCTCTACAAAAGATCTGCACGGCTAACAAAGTCTCTGGCAGTGAGACAAGAATAAAAAAGCTAAGTGAGTGTCTAAACAAAGTTCCCCCCCACCCCCCCATTTGCCTTGTTTTCTTACAGAATATCAGGAATAGTAGTGATGCCTGGGGCCCAGGACTCACCCTAGGGCTAAGTTGGGTGTCCTGGGGCCCCTTGTAGTTAAACCAGCATGATGCCCAGCTGTTCTGGGAATGACTCCCTCTCTCCATGCCTGAGCCAAAATAAGCTCAGCTACACTTAATTGGCTTCCAGCTGATCATAGATCATGCAGCTGCCTCTGAGCTCTGCCCAGGGATTAACCTGTACAAGCTCAGGGCACTCACCCAGGCTCCTCCCCAGCCCAGACGTGGTGCAGGCTGATGTCCAGAGCTCAAGTGCACTCCCAGTGATGCTGGAAGACCTTCCTCACAGGCACATAAACTCCATCTCAATGTGTCTCCTTCTTCATGTAACAGGGAGAGCAGCCATATAATTTTCAAACTGTGTGGTGACTTGGCTGATTAGCCATGGAAATTTTCTTTCTGTGATACCCTTAAGAACTGCAGAATATGTTTACCAGGAGGACATCTAGAGAAAGAACTGACAATGATTAAAATACCTTTGAACTCTTTTGGTATTACCACGTGAAAAGCTTATACACAATGTGTTTGCAACAAAGTCTGTACTTGCCACACTGGGAAAAGCAGTTATTCATGACCTGAAATACCTACCATCTTTAGGCTTCTTTAGAAAATAAATGCATGAACAAGCCCTTTAAATCTTGGCGAGGAAACAGAGTTAAAGGACAGGCTCCACCCCTTAGTGAGTTAGTGAGGGCTTATAAAAAATCAGTTGCACAAGCCAGTTAGAAATAAAGCAGCGGTTGGAGCATGGAGGCAAAAAAAATTGGGTCTACAGGCTATTAAAAATACTTTTCCTGTCTCAACAAGAACAGGCTAGCTGAGAACGTTTACTTAAATTCTTCTTATAAGAATGTTTTTACTTGTATTGAGATAATCCTTGTGGGGCTGATTTGATTTTGGCCTTTAATGTGTTTAACCAGCTTTGTGTCAGAGACAAGTTATAGTGGAGCTGTGTTGTTTGAACTGATTGCTTTTTTTCTGCTAAAGAGAGAAGTTTTACTCAATTTCCAAGTGAAATATCAAATTATCTAATTCGGGAAAAGCACACATAGAAAAGAGAAGCTAGCAAATGAGGACAGCTTCAGCAAATAATTTGTTTTTAAACTTAAATACCTAAATTTTCAACTATTAACTTTCTCTTAAAATACTTACAAATCAAGGGAGACCCAGCAGCAGTAATACCTCCACAATGCATAGAGGGTTCTGAGTAGGCAATTTGCATTTTCTGCAAATCAGAACATTATATTTAGCACATAGTGTAGTTTCCCTGTGGGTGCACAGCAATAGAAGTCAAAACAAACAGATACAAAGCATTTTAAAAACAGCATTTCAGATGACGCATTGCCTGCTTGAAATGACAAGTCTGTACATTGCAGGGTAGGGCTAATATCCACCTCTCCTTTATAATTTGAAAGTCTGTGTTGATTTATTTTCACTCTGCTCCATGTGAGACAGGGCTATTTTGAAGCCTTTTGGGAGAAGAGGAAAAATATCACTGTAAATAAACCATCTACCATGAAATTTTAAAAGTGTTGGAAAGAAAACTCAGGAGATTTCTATCTCAAATCCCATTCAATCATCCTTTACTTGGAACTGCTTTTAAATACTCTTCTACTGCAATGGGAGAAACTTCTCCATACCAGCTTTGAAGCCAGATGTGTTCAATGTTCATTTTCATGAAGAACCACTCATAGCTACGAGGCCACTTTCTTACCACTGGGTGCCTAGAAGGACAAAGAAAAACAAAAAAAAAAATGTTAGAAGATGTGCCAAAGCATATGCATACTCTGCTTTTTTCTTCAGCTTAGTGTGCTCAGCCAGAGTGAAACCTAAGATATGAGAACACCACCATTCATCTTTTTGGCCCTTCCTTGCTGTAAGGTTTACAATCTTCCACATCCCAGTCTGGGGCGAACTGCAACACAGGCAGCCAGCAATCACCACCTTCCCCCACTGCAGAACCCTGTCTCTAAAGATAGATGTTGTTCAGCCTCTGAATAAATGAAAAATAGTTAGAGAAAACTCTTTGAATGCATGTCAGGGTTGTGCTTGTATCTGTTTAAAGGAAACACTGTCCTGAAAATATTTGGTAGCAATTGTGGTAGAGAGGGAGGGCTAATAAAACTGGGTAGCAGGTAGAGCATAGCCTCTGCTAGCTGTCACCTCCAAGAGCCTTCTCATCCTGTATTTATGTCTCATTTCTCTGGTCTTCCTTACAGTTAGGTTAGACAGATTCTCCTTGACTGGGTGCAGATCTTTGGTCCCCAATCCCTGGCAGGTGTAGCTGTGGGAAGCTCAGCAGTGATGCACAGAGTGGATACCACAGTTCAAGTCACAGTGTTCACAGGAACATTGGCGGGGAGTGGTGCAAGTCTGGGCAGAGTTGGCTCAGTGCCCCTCTACTCCTGCAAAGGATCCTGCAGCAGAGGTACTTGGTTTGGCAACATCTTGGTTTCCCTCTCATTGGGAAAATGGTGTTTCCTACCATTTTCTGAGTTGTCCCTTTGAGTACCCACGACTCTGGGGTTGGTAAGTGGTGTCAGATGCTGCTGGCACTGGATGTTCCCCAGCAGCCCTCACTTTATCATTCTGGCTCTTGCACCTGACAGCAGAGCATCCTCTGCTGAGGCGCTGGTGGATTCTGGATCACTTGGGAATCTAATTCCCGTGAAGTTTGTAAAGAAGTGTGTCAATATGGCCCCATCCGTTCATGGTCCCATTTTTGTTATTGATGGCACACACACTGACAGAGTCTCACCCTGACCCTATCCTGTAGGTCAGAAAGAATATAATCTCTGGGCTGTTTTGGATCCAAGCTCATCCCAATTTCCCAATAGTATTTGATTGACCAGGAAAAGTGCATCTGGAGGACAATCCCTGGCAGCCTGTGTGGGACATGTGTGCCCCAGCTAAGGTTCAGGCTTTTCAAGCCTGTAATTCTGGACACCCAGTGAAGGGCATGGGGGCACACCCTGTGTGTGTGTGTGCTCCACATCTGGGTTGTCCTTGCATCTGTTCAAAGGAGACCGTTCAGTAAGTACTACGGCTTTGAAGCAGCTGGGACATTAGGAGATGTAATTAAATTTATAAGCTCCACCCTGAAAATGTTTGTAAGCCCAAAGACAGCAGACCTCTGCTCTTTGTCTGAGTCCTCTACCTGTCATAAGGTGGGGTAGAATCATTAAAGATAACAAATACACCATGGAATTATGGAATATCTCCTTGGAACCAGGTGACATTCTTCATAATCCCCAGATTATAAACCATGTGCCTTACCAGAGTCCAACACTAACTGTATTTCCACATTTCATTTCCTCAAGAGTTAAAAGGTCTGTCATTCCAAGCCACACAGAAGCCAGCATGCTTCATGGCCCCAAAGTAAAGGTCAGGCTTGTTATTTCTCAGATTTTCTGTACCAAACGGCCACATTTGTATATTTGTCTCTAACCCGTGGGTTGCACTCTACTACGTGCCTTTTAGATACAGACCTGGAAAACATAGCTTGCTTGGCAAATTCTACTTCCTCTGGAGGCACTGTGACCATCTGTCCCATGAGAGTCAGCCTGGCGCATCTTGGATCCTCTGGATCAATCACGTTTTTTCTGTGCACAGAGAAGAATGCTCATGAGTAATAGCTTACTTGCTTTCTTAAGGGTTTTTGGAGAAGTGTGGACTCCTGCTCACATATAAAAAACTTTGTCAAGCCTTGTGGGTCGTCTCTACTCCCAGCTATACTGTTTGGTGGAGGGGGGTAGTCTGGAAGGAACACTTGACTGACACACTGCTCTGCTGTAGATAGTTGCTTAATTTTAATTTATGTTCATGAAAGTTTGACTAGTATCTATTGGATTGTAAAAAATCGTGAAAATGGCAGTATTCCCAGACAGATGTACAGAGATGTACAGAGATTCAGATATACAGCTGATTCTGAGAAGAAGTAGTGAGATGGTTAGTCTGTACCTGTGCCTACAGAAAAGCGTATGAATATGTGTATCTGTATGTAAAACATAAGGTCTTTTCATTGTGCTTATCCTAGAAAATAAATCCTTGTTCATTTTTTACCCATTTTTCAACTGTTTTACACCAAATAGGAAAGTTCTCCAATTGCTTTCAGACCAAGACAGGGAAGGTACTTGTTACTTTTTGGCTCTCTGTATATAGTAATAATAAATAACTCCCATTAGTAACTGCAAGGCAATTACTGACTCTGACGTATACAATACAAGGATATAAATCGTAAGTAAATCTACTAATTGCAAAAAAAAAAAAAAAAAAAAAAAAAAATTGTGTATGAAATGACTGCAGAGGCTTGATCCTGACAAACACTGAGCAGCCCAAAGGTCTGCTGCCAGCAATTTGAGATTGCTTAGTGTCTCAGGGAACCACATTCCTGTGTCAGCCCAAGAAACTACATTAGGAAATGAAAGCTGCATTTCTTTTTCACCGTGTTTTAATCACAGGAAATTACATCTCATCTGTGCACAATTTTACTTAATTTTTTAAAGATCTTGGCTTGAGCCCTTTAGCCTTAACTGTGTGCAATCTGCAATGGCTTCATTTTTGGTTATACTTCTCAATGTGTGTCTAGTATATGCAGGAAGCATATGGGCATCCTCCTGCAGCTAATTTAACACCTGCAGATTCTTCACAGATGGTTATGAGAGACTGTGTAGCTCACTAGATAAAAGATCTGCTTTTCTAAAGACAGTCAGAAAGAGAGATACATAAGTACAGTAGGCTGACTGATACTTGACTATGTCCAGTAAGCACTTGCCACTGTCTGCTGCCTGACCTCCAAAGTACCATTTGCAGTCACATCATCTCAGGGACATTTCTTCAGTGTTCTGTTCAGTTTGGAGCAGCAGTTGTCTGTTTAACAACATTTGGACAAATTCCACATGTATTCATTTTCCTCTCCCATGCATACTGATGGGAGGAATGGTTGAGGCCAAAGATCAGGCTCAAACTTTCTGTCCACATCAACTTATAGTGTTCTAATTTTCTCTAGTACAGTTTTTTAAATTATAAAAGTGGTGTTATGAGTACCCAAAAATCCACATTCCCTGCTCAGGCACTGGGTTTATTTCTATCAATGTGTATGCAGAGTACAAACTTGTCTAGATGATCACCTTGGTACACCATAGATCCTCAGCACTGATTCCTCCTGCCTGCTGAAGGTGTCCCTTCATATCTGGGTTCCAGTGGCCTGAAAGCACTCTGTCCCTAAGGAACACAGCTCCATACCTGTAGCTCCTGGCATTTCTTTTGCATAGGCTTTGGGTGTTGTGTGGCTGCCCAGTATCAATGGCCCAGTGAGATGCTCACCCACCAAAACACAAATAAAGGCAAATACAGTGAATACAGCTGAAGAGAAAGGAGCCAATCCCACATGCAGAGGGTATCAGCTGAGGGTATGCATGTCCAGCAGCCAGGGCAATGCACATTCACACTCTTGCAACTGTTGGCCCTGGATGGTGAAGTGTTGAAGTCCATTTGAAGCAATCTCCTGATCTGTTGTTATCTTTTATGCCTAATCTTAATAATGTACCCAAAGCCCTCTGCATATGTTTACATATTCAGTATATATTTAACATTTATATTGATAAAGGAAAGGGACTTCTTGCGAGCAGAAATTCAGTTCAGAAAATTGCTTTCAAACAACTGTGCATCTGAATATATGATACAATTTCCTCCACAGACAAACAGTACCATAAAACAACTGAAGAGCCAGGAAAAGCAGGAATATTTGCAAGTGTTTTTCTTGCACACAGTTCCTACATAATATGTGGTTAATTACTGTAAGAGAGGATTTTGAAAGGGATTGTTATTAAAAGATGTCTGTTTCACAGAACGGATGAAGGCCATGGATTCTGGATGTGATCAGGGGCAGTGAGAAGTTTTGGTCTGACCTTCTCAGATTACAATTATTTGGTGTTTTTATGCAAGTCCTTGTTTATTCTGAAAGCATAGTATGTGATTTTGAGTAGGCAATAGAGCTGATGTAGCTGTGGTTAAGCAGTGAACCCTGCCTGCCTTTGCTGAGAAAGTTTTGTCTAATAGGACTGGTGTCTGATGTGACTCTTCCCCAACTGACATGAAAAGCTGCTCTGCACATATTTGGCTGACAACAAAGGCCACACACACTGCGCATCCATAGCTTGAAAAGTCTTTTTTTCCCCCGGCTTCTTCTGTTTACAGTTTTCTGTACATTCTCATGAGCTATGGTGCTACACTGGTTGACACACATAATACTATCTTCCCAGTAAAAATTATTCAAACTTAATTTTGCATATTGGAATAATAATCTGGAGGGTCAATTTGTTTTTCTGGAAAATGACTCAAACAAATTATTTGTTGAGATTGTGTGAGGTGAAGTTTTGGAAGAGCTGAACAGAGCAATGATACATTTGAGTCCAGCACACTGTTATTACTTGTTGGTTTTGCTTTCAGGTCTGCCTCTTATCATAGGTTTTTTGTTTCAGATTAGGAACCTTGTATTCTAATCTGACATTAGCATTAGTATATTATTTTTCAAAGGAACCCTTCATATTATGAAGTGAATCTGTTTCTGCATTTCTTTTTTTTTTTTTTAGCATTATATTTCCCTAATGATGTTTGATTACTTTTATATTTCTCAAACCATCAAAACCCACTAAACTTACAGCTTCCATTTATAAATGTTATGAATGGGACTTGTGTTTTCAGTGTTGTTGCCAGTGCAACTAATACAAACGCAGGATTTGCTTCCCTGGAGCAAGGTGATATAGTCAGGGATTTATGTCTTATTTTCACTAAAGACAATAAAGGGATATTTACTAAAACATTCCTCACTTGAATCTGTAGAGGTATAGTCATGCATTCACTAGACATTGCTTCTCTCTGTATAAATACATATTCAGGTCTCAGTCCCTGAGTTACTTTCATCTTTGCTGGCACAAGAGTAAGTAGATGCAGAGGAGTGGCTTTATGTAACATTTGTGTGCTGCTGACTGGGTGTGAGAGGGAGGCAGAGTCAGGGGTAGAGATGTTGACACTGTTGCTCTGTTGAGGAAACCCAAGGTGGTTACTCAGGTGGTTTGTCTTTACCAGAATCAAGCCCTCTGTCTCCATGGGGAGGACTTCATGAATGCTATAGTAAAATATGAACTGAGGAGAAGAGAAAGCAGGTAACTGTGAAAGAAGACCAAGCAATAGGAACACATTCTTTTTTTCATACTTATTTCAAATACATATACTTTGTTGGGGAAAATTAGGAAGACCAGATTAAAAGGGAACAAGATTCGGTTTATAAGAAAACAGTGCATTAAGACAAATCATCTTAATTATTCATCTGATCTGTGGAGAGAGAAGAATTAATTGTTCCTGTTCCTCTGCTTACAGTGAGCAAAGCAGGTATGCAGAGTTTGACCCAGTCCAGGCAGTTTTCTTCCAAGTGTGTGAGATGACATCACCTACCCAGGTGCCAGCTTTACTGAGCTTAAGGAGAGGCCTGCATCCAAGTGAAAAGTATTTCCCACGAGAAATGCAGTGCTGCAAAGCACACTGCTAATGAACATGTCCCACTTACTATGTAACACTTCCGCAATTTCTGGGTCCTGGTTCAAAAGCGGTTCAGAGTAAAGAGTGTTAGCTACTCATTAAATTGTTTACTACACTAGCCATCTCTTGGAGTTTAATTAGAAGGTTCTTATACAGCAGCTATCCAAGTTCAGGTGTTATGAACCGGCTGCTGTGGTTATATTGACACATAAGATGATGTTGTGACTTGGTTAGGATTCCCTTTCACAGTTGAGATCTCTGCTTTGACTGATGATGCTCTGTCTCCTGGTTTCTGACCAAAGTATCCCTGAGTATTATCTTCATTCTCAGCCTCTGCAATCCATTAGTGAGGTGACACTGATCTGCCACAGATCAACAGGAAAAGCAAGTTAAGAGTTTGGAAGGCACTTGGGAAGGAAATCCAGGTACTCCCAAGAAAGAACTGTTGGGAGAAAGGCAGGAGGGTTCAGTACTGTTCCAGTCTGGGTGTGGAAGCAGGGGTCTATGCAGAGGAATCCCTCTCTTCTTCCCCAGCCTCCTTTTCCCACAAAGGAGCTGACATCCTTCTCCTCCACCCCCTGAGGAAATAAGATCTTCCATCCTCCTTGGGAGGACACACAAATGTCCCCTGAACACATTTCTCACTGCTGTGTGAGAAAGCACTGCTCTTATCCCTCTGCTTCTTCATAGTTGAAGAGAAAAAAGTTGGGAAAGAGTTTTCTCCTATTGCAGGAAAGACAGAGAGCCAAGAAGAAAGCCCCAGTTTCCCTACTTTTTTTTTTTTTTTCTACTTTAAAGCATACAGCTCATGAGTGGCATAAGGGCAATGACTGCTTCCACACATTCTAAGCGCTCCTATAATGGTAGCAGTCGTGAAAACCCATGTAATTAGGGGGTGGGGATTGGCTGCTGACCCAGCTCATCCCTGTCACCTCCCAAGGATGCAAAGTAGGTGACTCTGTCACACCCTTCACAGGGCTCCTCTTCACACAGCCCCAAACTGGGCCCAAGATGAAGAGGCAAGAGTTATTTTCTACTATATAAAATGTATGACAGGATTTTT